GAGCGCCGCCGCGCTTCCCAAGCGGCGCACTATCCAGTGCGCCACCGGGCCGGCCCCTTATTCCTAATCTTAAAGGGAATGTATTCAATCTTACACATTAGGTAGGAAGTTAGTTGTAGGCTTTGTATAGATATTCTTTATCAGTTCAAGAGTTCATTTCTATTCTTAGTTTGCTAAATTTTCCTAAGGAATGGATATTGGATTTTGTCAAATTCTTTTCCTGTGTCTATAGTGATTATCATAAAAAAATTTAATTTGTTAATATGCTGTTATAATGATTGGTTTTCAAATGTTAAAACACCTTGCATTCCTAAAATGAAGTCCACTTGGTCATGATGTATACTTATTTTAATGTATTTGATTTGATTTGCTAAAATTTTGGTGAGAATAACTGCATCAGTGTTCATAAGAGATATTGACCTGTGGCTTTGTTCTCTCGTACTATCTTTTTCTGATCTTGGGGTCAGGGAATGCTGGCCCTACAGAATTAGCTGGGAAGTATTTCCTTTTCTTCACTTTTCTGGAAAAGTATGTAGAATTGAAAGTAGTTAGATTTCTACTTTCTCTGCTCTACTAATTCAGTTACCACTTGTTCTGTTTTTCAGCATCCAACATTTTGTTGACACATTTTATTTGCTGTATTCGCCTTTTCTTTCTGGCCTTGGGGATTTATGCTTTAAAAATAATTCCTTTATTGCTATTTTACTGGCTTTTCACAGAGTGTAGTGAGAAATGCCTGTTGATCTGCCAGATTTTACAGGAAAATGTTGGACTATGATTATACATATAATATAAAAAATATATATATACCTCTGTTCATGAAAAGGCATTAAGAAAGTGAAAAGGTAAACACAGAATGGGAGAAAATATTTGCCATACATTTATGTGACACAGGACTTATTAAAACGATATGAAGAACTATAACTCAATAAGAAAAAGGCAATCCCAAAGATGGAGAGCAAGATGGCTGACTAGAAGACCCTACTTCTCGTCTCTCCCACAAAGGTAGTAAAAACAACAAATAAACAACTACATTAAACATAAATAACTAAGAGAGTGCCCCATCTCATCAATGGAGTAAAAATTGCTAGTGAGAAAAGAAACTAAAGATAGCCACATAGAGAATGGAAGAAAATACCCAGCCTCCTCCACCACCACCACCCCAAGACTTAGGTGCAACAATAGGTTTGAGACCTTGAGTGCCTCCCCAAGTACCTGCACCTGGAACTCAGTGCCACTGCTTCACTATTCACAGCAGCCAAGATGAGGAATCAACCCAAGTGTTCATAAACAGATGAATGAATAAAGAAAATGAGGTACATATACACAATGGAATACTATTCAGCCATAAAAAAAGAATGAAATCCTGTCATTCACAGCAATGTGAATGAGGTTGGTGGACATTATATTAAGTGAAATAAACCACGAACAGACAGAGAAATACTGTATGTTCCCACTCATATGTGGAACCTAAGAAAGTTGATGGCAAATAAGTAGAGAGTACAATGGAGGTTACCAGAAGCTAGATAGGGTAGGGGGAAGGAGGAATGGTGAGTAGTTGGTTAATGGATACAAAAGTACAGCTAGATAGGAGGAATAATATCTAGAGTTCTTTAGCATTATAGGGTGACTATAACTAACAATTTATTGTATAGTCTCAATAAGCTAATAGGATTTTGAATGTTCCCAACATAAGGAAATGATAAATGTTAGAGGTAATGGAAAAAAAGATCAGTGGTTTCAGAGGAGGAGGTGGGGAGAGAGGATGAATAGGTGGAGCACAGAGGATTTTCAGGGCAGTAAAACTATTCTGTACGATCCTGAGATGGTAAACACATGGCATTATGCATTTGAAAAAACCTACAGAACTGTACAAAACAAAGAGAGAACCCTAATGTAAAACTGTGTTAATAATACATCGATACTGGTTCATAATTGTAAGAAATATACCACACTGATGTAACATGTTAATAACAGGAGAAACTGTATGGTTTTGTGTGTATGTTGGCAGGGGGGTTATGGCAAATATCTGTACTTTCTGCTCAGTTTCTCTGTAAATCTAAAACTGCTATAAAATGAAAGTCTATTAAAACAAACAAACAAAATGCAGAAGGAAAAAAAAAAAAGACAATCCAGTAGAAAAATGGGTAAATAATTAGACAACACAAAAGAGAATATCCAAATGATAATAAACATATGAAATAGCTCTTCACTTCATTTATCATCAGGAAATGCAAAATAAAACTACAGAAAAAAACCTCTACATACCTACCAGAAGGCTAAAATGAGAAGAATGGAAAATGTCAGCTATGACAAAGAAGGGGAGCTGAACTCACACACTGCTGGTGGGAGTGCAACGCTGGGCAACTCCATGTGAAAACAGTTTGATGTTATCTACCAAAGCTTAATATGCTCATACTCACTGACCCAGCAATTGCACTCCATACTGCTGGTGAGTATAAAATGGAAAAACCCCTTTAGAAAACTCTTTAGTATTATCTATCAAAACGCAGAACTGTATATGCACATCCTAGAAAATAGCAATTGCATTCTTAGGTATATACCAAACAGAAATGAGTACATACATTCATCAAAAAATAAGTAATATCATGTTCATATCAGCACTGTTATAATAACCAAACACCTGACTACCAAAATGCCCATCAACAGTACAGTGGATAAATGAATTGTACTCATATATTTATACAACAGAATTCAGCAGTGAGAATGAACAATGTACTACATGCAAAATGTGTCTGAAAATCACAACCATAATGTTGAATGAAGAAGCCATATACAAAAGAACATAAGGTGTGACTCAACTTTACAAAATCAGGCAAAACTAATGCTGTTAGAAGTTGGCATAGTTGATATCCTTGGAGTTGGAGACAATAGTAATGGTAATGTTTCTAGATATGGGTATTTGTTTCATGGATGTGCTCAGTTTGTTAAAATACATATATCTAGACACTTTTCTGCAAGAATTTTATACTTAAAAAGTTGTGGGTTTTGTATTGAGTGTGTATAGCAGTGTATACAGTAAAAAGTGAAAATTCTTCTCTTTCCTACCATCATGCTCCCTACGCCAGCCAGAGGTAACAGTCAGATATATATATCCTTCTAGACTTCTACAGCAGGGTTTCTTAACGTTGGCACTATCGACATTTTGGGTTAGATAATTCTGTGTTATGGAGGGCTGTGCTATGATGTCAAGAAGCACCCCTGGCCTCTGCCCAGTAGAAGCCAGTAGGCCCCCACACCTATAATTTTGACAACCAAAATGTCTCTAGAGATTGCCAAATGTCCTGGGAGGGACAAAATTGCCACAGCTGAGGACTCTTGCTCTGTACATAGCCATTTATATGTATGCATATTATATAGCTTCTTTCAATGTAGTACACGAAGATCTAGTTTATTCTTTTTAATGGCTGTAGAATGTTTTGTTATTGGATGTATCATTATTTATCCCATCTCCTACATATAACTGTTCTAATTTTTGTTTTCACAACAGTGCTAAAGTTGATATCTTTATATATAAATATTTACATACTAAGCTATATAAATTATATTATTTATATATACCTGCTTATTTTTTATTATTTTCTCAGTATAAATTTCCAGAAGTGGAATTGCAAAAAAGCACATTTATTTAAAAATTAATGAGGGAAGAGTATATTGGAATATGGGAATTCTTTGTACTATACTTGCAACTTTTCTGAGTCTGAAACCATCTTAAAACAAAAAGCAAATAAGTAAATAAACACATGTGAAAGAGAGAGTGCCTCTTTCCTCACAAGTTTGCCAACACATTTGGGTGTTACTATCTTCATCCTCGATAATTGGTCAGGCTAAAAAAATACTGCTCTTATTTTAAGTTGTATTGATTTTCTTTTTGTCCCATGATGTTACTTTTTTTCTCTTGTTGATTTGTAAGCACTTTTTTTAAGTTGAAAAGGCCAGTTAAAAATTAGTTTCTTCTCCACTACAGCAGTACATAGTACTCATGACTTCACAGTTTAACAGCTGCCTTAAATCTCTTTTGGACTAAGGAAAGGAAGAAAAAAACAACCAAAAGGGGCAGCATGTTGTCCAAGGCTATCATTTCAAACACTCTTACCTCACATAGCAGTATCAAGTGCTGAATGAGAGATTCCTTATTCTGCTGGAAGTTTACAGTCTGCAGTTGATTTTCAGATAAAAAATCCCATCCTTTCAGGATTGTCATTATTTCAGTCTTGGGGATTTTCAGGATGGTCCTCCTGATAAACTCGGCAACAGTCTCATCCATTTCTTTGGCACTTTAACAAAAAATCAGCACAACAAAATATTAACCAAATACAGAAGTTTAACTGTATATTTTTCAGCATATTTCTAGCTGAGATTTTGATTTGTAGGTAAAACATCCAAATGTTTCCCTTTTTTCAGCCAGTCTATAAGGAGTGTTTCAGCATGAGGATTTAATTATTTTCTCCTTAGGCTGTTTATTTAGGTATATTTTAGAGTTTTTAAAAAATTGGTGCCATCTCTCTTTTCTTGGCTAGATTATTTTGATCTCCTGATGGCAATGATATATAAATCATTCATCCATTCACTGATTCATGTAATCAATTACTGAGCATCTGTGCTAGTCAGGCACTGCTCTAGGTACTGGGGATAGATACATTTTTAGCCAAAAAGAGAATAATCCTTTCCAGTATGGAGCATCCATTCTAGTGGGGAAAGAGAGACAAAAGGAAAATCACAAAATATGTTAACAGTGAGAAGTGGTGTGGAGAAAATGGAATAATGGAGTAATAGTTAGATAGGAGGTGCTCAGTTTCTCTAGGTTTGGGTTTCAGGACACACCTCTGGGTTTCAAGGCACTCCCCCAAGTTATCTCAGGCCCCTTCTCTAGGACCTCCCCTAGAGGAGTTACTGTTGCTTGTTAGACCTATTTTCAGCACCAATATGGGGAAATTGAGACCACAAGGGGCCGACTTATGCAAATCCAGTAGCTGAGCATGCTCAGTAAAAGGGAGTTTATCCTTTGAATGACCTTCCACTAGGTGTGCTAAAGAGTACAGGATATTCTTGAATATGTTCAGTGCATGCAATAGAATTTGACCAATGAACATACCCTAATAGGAGACTGAGCATGTGCAAAATTATGTTATGTAACAGGGAACCATCCCTTAATTGAATATTCACCAGATAGTTGAATATGTATTAGGTAGTGAAACTATAAAAGCTAATCCCAGCACAAGGTGGGGTTGTTGCTCCCTGAGCCAGCCTTCACTCTGTACTAAACTTTAAGTATTTCTTACTTTTGTATTAAACTTGGTGGACCCTGCTCAGCCTCTGGAGCTAGGCCGTACTGTCTCTATGAAGTCTGTATTTCTTACCTGTTACATTAAACCTATTTTCATCTTCTGCTGTGACTCTGCTCTTGAATTCTTCCCTGTGGTGGGGTTATGAACCTGGTAAGAGGATGGGGTGGGTTGAGGCCAGCTCCTGGCCTCCCCAGACCCTCTTCTCTGACATCAATAGTGTTAGGTAGGCTGGGTGTGAGGTGGGTGTGGAGGAGATGAGAGAGCAGGCATCACAGAGGTGACATTTCATGCAATCCTTGGAGGGGAGGAAGTCATGTGGTGGAAGAACCTTCCAGGTAGAGGGAACAGTAAGTGCAGTCGCCTTGAGGCAAGAACCTGCCTGGGGTTCCTGTTCTAGGAACAGGAAGGAAGCAACTGGCAGGAGTAGAGAAAAAGAAGAGGTGTAAGGAGGAGGTGAGGTCAGAGATCATGGAGAGCTCTCAGGGCCACTGCAAGGATTGGAGCTTTTACTCTGGAAGGTGTTGAGCAGAGGCAGATATGCTCCTGCTTAGGTTTTCTACTGGGATCAATCTGGTCACTGTACTGAGAATGTGGTCTAGGGAAGCAAAGACAAAAGCAGGAAGCCAGTGAGGAGGCTATTGTGATTATGTGGCTAAGAGATGAGGGGGACCAAGGTGGAGGTGGTGAGAACAGGTCATATTTTGGATGTACTTTTAAGAGAGAGCCTAAAGGGTTTCCTGATGGATAGATGCAGGGTGTGAAAGAGAGGAACCAAAGATGAAACCAAGGTTTTACCAGGCAGCTCAAAGGACAGACTTATTGAGATGGGGAAGACTGTGCATTGGGCAGAGGAAAGCTCAAGAATTCTGTAATTCTGTTTTGAGCCTGTAAATTTTAAGATAACTGTGAGACTCCAATTGGAGATATTGATCAACAGCTGGATTTATGAGTCCAGAGGACAGTTGCCAATTAACAAAGAGCAATTACCTCACTTTTCCTGCCCCATGCCCGAAAGTGAGATTCTTCAATTGTCTGAAAGGTCCTGAGCCCCAAATCCAGCGTGACTCCCTCAGCAACAGTCAAGGGCAATACTCTTCAGGAGCATGATGAGTGGCTGTATTAGATATGTAGCACAGTGAAGTGGGATTCTGAGCCCTTTTATTACTTTCCTCATGGCCAAGGGTGACAGCTGATCCCAACTCTGCTATCTCATTTGGGGACACTGATGGGCATCTTTCTCTCCTTAAATATTGCAGTGGATTGAATTATGTCCCCCAAAAACTCACTGAAGCTAGAATTGTGTCCAAGTTTTATGTATTAGAAACTTAGCTCACACTGTGACTGGTAAGAGGGTGGGAAATCCTATTATGGTATTTGGAAGGTGGAGCCTTGAAGAGGTGATCGGATGGTAGGACCATGCTGTAGCAAATGGATTAGAAATGGTGGTCAGGGGCATAGTTCTGAGGGCTTTAAAAGAGGAGAGTCTGTCTCTTGCTCTTGCTCTGCTTTCTCTGCTTCCACCATCTTGCAATGTGAGACCCCTAGGTCACTGTCACCACCACCGGATGGACTCTGGACTTCTCAGCCTCAGAAACAGTAAGCAACAAATTTCATTTTCTTTATAAATCACCCACTTTCAGGTATTTTGTTATAAGCAACAAAAATGGACTAATACAAATATAGAACACAATAAGCAAGCAAGCATGATTTCTAAACAAAGAGTAAGCACAGTATCTGCAGACTTCAACTTCCCTTAACAGCCTATTGTTTAGGAAGAAGCACACAGACCTTGGTGTATGTGTTTAAGAAAAAAGGCAGAAATCAGTCTGTCAGTATGCTTCCATCACAACTCTGAGATTTCCAAGGACAAAGAGAAGAACATTCCCCTACAAGAATCCTGGCTGTGACTTATTTCTACCATCTTAAGTATTTGTTGAACATTGAATATAATTTAATATTGCCCTCTTCCTCCTATGGCTAATTCACTGTACTATAGAAAGATACTGAAAACAATAGTAAAAAAATAGGAAAGATAACGAGTTATTTGGAAAGAGAAAAATAACTAAATTAAGATCATGGGAACAGAATCAGGATCATGAAATGGAGTCTAATTTATTTACTTGTTCAGATACAGTATTATCCTATTTTAAGGTCAAGACTAAAATCTTCACCAAGGTCTACGAGGCCCTGTGTTATCTGGCCCTTGCTTCTCTCTCCTTGGCTTTCTGAGCTCCAGCTTCCATGGCCTGTTAATTTCTATAATACAGAATGATCCCTCTAGAGAAGGGCCATTGTACCTGTAGTTACCTCTGCCAAGAAGATTCTTTCTGTACATACTCCAGTGACTTCACGTTATAATTCAAGTCTCAGCCTACATCACTTCTCCTTAGAGAGACTTATTCTGAATTCAAGCAAAAGTTACCTCCCCACCTTCCACTGCTTGTCTTTACATAAGTGTCTGAAATTATATTATTATTTTATTGTCTCCACAATATTTTTTTGAGCCCCAAAGCAGGGACTATGTTTGTCTTATTCATAGCCATACCCCTAGAATCTAGAACGATGTCGGTCAGTAAGTCTAGATGGTTCAAGAGTCGTGTAATATGTACTTGATAAGTACTTGTGGAACGAATGCCTAGATACGCTCACTAAGCAGTATGTCTAAGGAGATAACCTGGGAAGCGTTAGGGTTCAACAGTCAAGGAAATAAACCAATACTTCTTTCATTAAGATCACTTAGGGACGAGGGCTGTAAAAATATAGATTGTTAGGCCCCATCAAGTTAAACTGGGGAGAGGGCGCATGTGAGATTTAGCATCTTTTAAAGTACCTCAGATGATTCTCGATTTTGGGTAAAGTTTGCAGAACCCCATTCTAAAGAAATCTGGTAAAAAGAGCGCACTCAATCTCACCAGTAAAGATGGAAAATCCTTTATGAAACGTTTCCTCTGTGACTATCTTTCAACGTTCATTTTACTTCCCTGCGCTTTAGAATAGTGCCTGGCATACGGTAGGCTCAAGATAGTATATTTGTTTAATGAACCCGTGACAAAAAAGATCCCTTTTAAGTAATATTCCTGTAAACACACACCGCCGAATAGTTGCAAAAGGGAGCATAAGGAGTAACGCAAAAGGATGCATGGACGAAAAGAACAGAAGCCCGTGCGAACTAAATATCAAAACAAAACCACACTAGGAAAGGCAGCGCTCGGAGAGTTGGGCGGCCCGTCACGTGACAGCCGGCGCGGCTCCGGCGCAGACGCACGCCCTACAGAAGGCTCCGCCCCCACCAGGGCGGATGTGACGCCACGGTCAAGTCTCACTGCCCTCTTCCACCTCAGCCTCAACCACAATTCCCCGTCCTCAGCCCGGCACCGAGCATCAATCCTGTGCCTCGGACGCGCGGCAGTCGCGAAAAAATCGCCACAGAGGCCTGGGATTTGTCTTTCTCAAAGTTCCGCGCACCTTCCGGGGCTCGATCCCATGCGGCCAGGCGCTCTCTTACCGGCCCTCATCTCCAGCCGTCTCGCTCCTCGGCAGCTGTTCCCGCCCGCTGCGCCTTCAAAGCCACCAATTGCAGTTCCAGCTGCCCTCAAGCTCCGCCCACCGGAGCTCAAACGTTGGATTGTACCTTGGGTACAGGGGGCCGCATGGGGGGCTGCGACAGACGTGAAACTCACCGAGCCCCAGTGTCTTCTTCTTAGTAGAGAATATTGTTTAAATAAAGTTAGATTCAGTGACAAAATCTGGATTGTTGATTCGGTTTGTTGTTTAGGCGGTGCCGTCCCTCAGTGGACTCGCTCTCCCTCCCCCCACAGCGTCCAGGAGTGGGCTCGTCCAGGCCAGGTGGCGCATGCGCCTCGGAGGAGGGCGGCGGGGGCGGAGCGGACGGGGTCGACTGTGGAGGGCGCCGAGGGCGTTCGCGGCTTGCTCGGCGGCCCTGCTCTTGGCTTCCGGGCCTTACGCCTTTGCTTCGGGAGTCTTTGTCGGTGGCTATCGCTTCAGCCTTCCCCGTGTGGGCTCGAGTCGGGTGAGTCTCGGGAGTCCGGGCCGTTGTGAGGAGCGGTCCCTCGTCCCTCCTCAGGTCCCCTGAGGGTGCGCGCCCTATTCTAAGCCAACCGCCTGCTCTCTGAGGAGGACGACCCGGCCCCTCGTACTCGGGGCCACCTTGCTCCCGTAGCAGGGCGGCTGCGCTGCGGAATGTTCTGGGGTGGCTGGGGGCGGAGGTGAAGGGGCGTCCTAAGGTTTCTGCCGTCAGGCCTTTGCTCGGAACACGCTGGTGGTTAAGAGCAGCCTGTGGATGTCACTCGCTGTTCGAATCCGCCCTTGGCTCACTAGCCCCGCGACCTTGTGCAGGCTCCTCTCCCTTGGCTTTCTCGCCTGTAAAATGGGTATAACCCATCGCATCGGATTTGGAGAGTGAAACCTTAAGTCGGTGTCAGACGCGACGAGCGCTCGGCAAACCTTTCTATTATCATTGTTTATCTAAGAACTGAGGGTTGCGTGTAGTAAACTGGGGCATGTTTGAGTGCATCTCAGCTGCAGTGAAAGTTGTCACTCATCCGTCTTGTGACGTGAGAATCCACTAAGCCTTGTTAGTACCCTTTTCAAGGAGAGTAGACATTCAGATCCCTTTTATTGGGTTTAAAGATGACCGTGCTTGTATTTTCACATTAGGCGTTTTATGTAGAGTCTTAAGTAAAGCGAAGTTTTGGAAATTGTCATTGGAATTTTTCGGTGCCTAGAAGTTTGCGCTGGCAAAGGAATTCTGTTGTGACGCCCGCCAGCCCCATGCGTCTCTCTTCGTATACGTACAGGCATTTGCACTTGTTTAGTTAATTTAAAATGAGCCTCTTTCCATCGTTTTTTAATGTGTTGTGGTCTGAACTAATTTTCAGTCTCTCATAAATCACAAATTCAACATTACGCAAACATTTATTGGGCACTTACTATGTGCATTTACAAGAATAGTCCCTCACTAGCCTGTGCGATGAGGTGCGTGGATTTTTTTTCTCTGAAATTCACATGATTTGGCAGAGTACTCAACACCTAGTAAATACTGATAAATGTTTATTCAGGGAGAGCTACAATGTGGGCCCATTCCTTGAGAAACCATTTGGTGGAAGTCAGATAGTTAAGCCCTTCTCCCAGGAAGCCCTGGGGTTGCTCTGGGTTGCAACGTGGCGAGGTCTCTACTCAGGGAGAGCTTGTCACTTAGTAGCATCTGCTTAGATTTACTCACTTTTTGGCTGTGATAAGTAGAAGTGGGTAGAGTAGGCAATCCCCTACTATGTCTGCTACCTCTGCTGCAATGTGGTTCATAGTTTGAAGAAGGTGGAAAATACCAACTTAACAAATACCAGGGCTTTCTAAAATGTAGACTTTTAAAGACTATGTTATAGAAAGCATAAAGTGTTAGTTTACAGTTTTTTTTTCTGTAAAACAGATCTTCAGACTCTGAATAAGAGACATTTCTGGTCTTGCTTATTTTAACATAACATCAGAAATTGTAACTGTGTGTAAACTTATTTCCGGTGCAGCCATACAATAGCAAAATCTTTCTAAACAAAAATGAAGTGGCATTAAAATACAGGGTTTCCCCCGTCATATAGATCTGCTGGAAGTTGTGTTATTAGAATGCGTATTACCCCTTTTGTGGAGTTAATATATTACTTGCTCTTCATTTATTTATGTTCTGAAATTGTGCCATCTGGTGGCTGAAATCTGAAGTCTTGATAAACAAAGGTGAAGGAGTGAATAAAACTATAATTTTCTGTCTTCAGTGAAAGTGTCCTACTGCTTCTACTCTCCCAGACTACCCCAAGGAAAAGGAAAAGTAGCTTTGTTAGGAGCCTGTTAGATATCAAAACATCACATTTTCACAGCTGAAAAATTTTAGTTTCAGTGGACTGTTTTGGTGTCATTGTGTGCATACTTGATGAAGTGAATGGGGCTGGCATGGTGAGGGAGGTGGTGTGTTTGTAACACTTTTACTCTTCTGATGTTTTCTAAATGAAAGTGTACAGGTGGGACTGAAGTTTTGTGTTTAACTAAATAATAATAGTTGGAATGGAATTTATCCCTCTCTCTCTCTCTGTCACTGCAGACATCCAAATGAATGTTGCCCTCATATTCATAATGCTGCTAATATTCATAATTACCTTGGCACTACCCTTTTGAAATTGTTTTCTGTATTCTTAGTAGTAGCAAGTGTTTATCCTTTGAGTGTGCATTTTACTTTTGGAAAGTACTTAAAATTTAATTGAATTGTGAACTTAGATTTGAGAAGAAACTTAAAAGTACAGTGCGGGAATATACTCTGTGACATCCTTAATTGATGTAGCCATTCTCTTTTGGACAGATTCATTTTGGACAGTCTCAGTATGACAGATAACTCAGAGCTTCACACAGCAGCCTGTTTCATTGTTGGGCAAATCCATGAAGATGACATGGATTTGCAACTTTCACCCTGTTTTCTAGTCTACACTGCAGACCTGTCATAGAGTAAACTCAGTTCGGCCTTTCTCATCATGTGACTGAGAATTTCAGATACACAAATAGTACTTTACATTGTTACTCTCACTGTTTACTATTTCAGATAGTCTCACATTTGTTATTTTAACAATGAAAATAACACTGAAATATTGGTCAAGAGTTAGTTTCATTTCATGGAGGAAGAGACTTAAGTCTTAGATTAGTAACCAAAATGATAAACTTGTGAATAGCTGAGTCCACAGTTTTTGCCTTCAAATCCACATCTTTTTCCTTCAAATTCATTGCTTATCCCACTTAACCAGGCTATTTCTTTTTTATATCTCCCATGTTATGAGCTTTTCTAAGTTGGTAAATGTTCCCAGCTTCATCAGTTGTTTTCTGTTTAAACCTAGTGTCAAAACCGTCTCCATCCTGAACACTTCTCCCAGGAGTATTCAGATTATCAGTATTCTAAATGTGGTTGACCAGCGATGAGTACAGTACTTCTTTTTTCTGTTTGTAATATTACAGAATAATACCACGTTGACTTCTTTGGAACTTAGGCCTAGAATTGTGCCTGTTGAACTTATAGCCAACCAAAGGTTCTTTGTAAAATAGTTTGTTCTGTTTGAATTTATTTCATTCACAAACTTCTGCAAAGGCAATCTTTTCTATTTTAAACATGCAAAAAAGTCCTTCATGGTGAGAGGTTGTGTTGGGTAGTAACTTTGCCACTTATTGTGTGACCTCGGGCTTAGTTTGTCTATGCGAATGTGGGTAATGCATTCTTTGACCTACAAAAAAGCAATTTCTTATGGTTCAACTGAATTTAAAAGAGTACCCACTTTATAGGGTTGTTGGATTGTTATAAGACTTGTGTGTAGTGCATGGTAAGTGCTCAGCAAGTTTTCTAAACTAATAATGTTATCTTATGTCTCTGAAGAAATTTAAAAAATAAGAATATGGAATATATAGCCTTTTTTCAGTTTGCAAAAAATATTTTGAGTTTTAATAGTGTTATTAGAATGACTTTTAAAGATGACTACTGGAAGGTATCAGCACTTATTTAAATGTGTTCTGAGAGAACAGTGTCATTGTTGTACAATCATGCTTCATATTTTACACTCAGGGGTACAGCATTACATCCATGTATGCAACCAACATTTAGGCAAAGCTAGATGACAGGGGTGGATGAAAGGGAGCATAGGTGAAGGGTGAATAGAAGGACAGGGGAGGAAGAGTATATCTAGCTAAGAAGATATGGTGGAAGAAAGGGGAATGATTGGTAAAGCAAGGTATTTGTTAGATAATGGATAAGGTGAATGGAGATTTAGGTCAAGTACTTTCTTACCGAGAATAAGAAAAGGAAGCTAAATTAAGCCATTTTATTCTTTCACGTAGTCATCTAGGATAAGAAAGTAGAAGGGCCCCATAAATATATATAATTATTATTTGTCAATTAAAAATAAAACTAAATTTTAAAAAATTAGAAGGGAAGATGTTTTATTGGTACCCTAGCTAGGTCTACAGTACATACATATTTGAAGTAAACATTTGTTATAGAGGGAGGAAAATATGTATCATTATATGTATTTATATTCATAAGCAATGTGCATATATGTACTATCTCAGCAGACAGATGTCTTCTCAAGTATTTGTCAATAAAAGAGGTCATCTTAAGCTTGTTTCTGAACTGTAAAGGCACACATTTGAGGGCAGGTTGAAAGAAATGTGCAAAGTATTTTCTGAAACACGTTTACAAAATAAGTTGAAGACATTTTCAAGGTGACCAAATAAAGCATACATCTTTCAGTAAAAAATGAGCATACATCTTCTTTCAGTGATAAGTGAGGCAAAATCCAGATAACTAATACCATACATAAATATAGGTGCATAATATTGGTGTAATGTTAGATAACTTAAATTGCTAAACTGTATGAAACTTCATTTTTCTGAGGCAAAAAATTTGTGTCATTAAAGGATCTGTAGTCAATGGCAGGCAAACAATTCCGTTTTCCATTTCAAATAAATTCTTAACTAGTTGCAGTAGCCTGATTTGTGATCTTCAGCTGTGTGTGTGTGTGTGTGTGTGTGTGTGTATTAGTTACTGAATGGAGCAGTGATCTACTGGTATTTTTATAGGTTGCAATCTGAAATAGTAGCTATGCTCTTATCCTCTGCCATTATTTGTTCAGAAACTTTTTTGGATTTTATTTGTTGGGAGTGAAGGTGGATGGGCAGTTGGAATTTTTCAGAACTCTTTTAAAACAGCTTTATTGAGGTATAATTAACATAACGTAAAATTAACCCATTGTAAGTGAATTCAGGGATTTTAGTAAATTTGTGGAGTTGTGCAACCATTACCGCAATCCAGTTTGAGAACATTTTCATCACTCAAAATTTCCTTTGTACCCATTTGCAAGTTAATCCCCATTCTCTTCTTCAATCCTGGGCAATCAATGATTTGCTTTTTGTTTCTATAAATTTAGTTTTTCTAGACATTGCATGTACATGGAATCATACAATATGTAGTCTTTTGCATCTGGCTTGTATTTAGCATAGGGCTTTTGAGGTTCATCAGTGTTAGAGCAAGCATCAGTAGTTCATTTAATTGCCAAATAATATTTCATTGTATAGACACAGTACATTTTGTTTATCCATTTACCCAGTTATTGCTCATTTAGATGGTTTCCACTATTGGCTGTTATGAATAATGTTGCTATGAATATTTGCATACACGTCTTTGTGTGGATCTATGTTTTCTTTTCTCTTGGGTAGATTCCTAGGAGTATAATTGCTGGATCATATGGTAACTATGTGTTTAACTTTTTAAGAAACTTCTAAATTGTTTTCCAAAGTGTCTACTATTTTGCATCCCCAGTAGCAATGCATGAGGTCCAGCTTCTCCATATCCTAGCCAGTGCTTGGTATTGTCTGTCTTTTTTTTTTTTTTCCTTTTTCTGTCTTTTTCACTGACTGGTAACGGGATCGCAACCCTCAGTGTTGCGCCCGCACCGCGTTCAACCAGTGAGTGGGAACCGGTCTCCACATGGGATCCGAACCCTCGGCGGGAGCGCCGCCACGCTCCCAGAGGGCGCACTCTCCAGTGTGCCACCGGGCCGGCCCATCTGTCTTTTTGATTATAGCTATTCTGGTAGGTATGGTGATATCTTATTGTGGTTTTAATTTAGGTTTCCCTAAAGACTAAGGGTGTTGAGCATTTTTTCATGTGCATTATTAACCATTCCAGTATCATCTTTGGTGGAATATCAGTTCAAATCTTTTGACCTTTGTGTGTGCGTGTGCGTGTGTGTGTATGTGTGTGTGTGTGTGCGTGTGTGTGTTTCATCTGTTTTTTTTTTTTTGTCCTTTTTGAGACCGGCCGCACCGCGCTCAGCCAGTGAGCGCTGTGAGCGCACTGGTCATCCCTATATAGGATCCAATAATTCCACTAAATCACACTAGAGCACATATGTGAATTCCTATAAACCCCAAGTAACATTTACCCCTCAAAGACATATTTCTTTTTTGAAGTAGAGCTGCTTCAACACCCTGTCCCAGGCACTGAAGCATCAGGGCAACACCTCTTCCTCACGATCTGAATCTGCAAGCCTCATTTGTGCTCTCCTGTGGTTTCCCATTTTGCCAGTTATCACTTCTCCTTTCTTATACAACATAGAAGGTTTGACTCCAAAGTTCTCCCCATAGCTGCAAAAGCGACCATATATGTACAACCTATCCTGCTTAATACTGTAGCCAAAGGAAAACTAAAATCACTCACACAGGAGGTGAACCAAGGTAGTCAGTGGCTTATCATATATATATATATATATATATATATATATATATATTAATTTTTATTTTTTAGAGAAGTTTTAGGTTCTTAGCAAAATTAAGAGGAAAGTGCAAAGAGATTCCATATGTGTATCCATTTGTCTGTCAATGGACAGTTTGGGTTGCTTCCATGTTTTAGCTGTTATGAACAATATGCTGTGAACATGGGTGTACAAATATCTCTTCAAGACCTTGCTTTCTGCTCTTTTGGTATATACTCAGAAATGGAATTGCTGGATTTTATGGTAATTACATTTAAAAATTTTTGAGGTTGTATCAGTCCGTTTTTGTGTTGCTGTAACAATACCTGAGACTGGGTAATTTATAAAGAAGAGAGGTTTATTTGGCTTACGATTCTGGGACAGCTGCATCTGGCACGGGCCTCAGCCTGCTTCTACTCATGGCGAAAAGCGGCAGCCAGCATCACATGGTGAGAGGAAGCAAGAAAAAGAGAGAGGGGAGGTGCAAGGGTCTTTGCTCTCATGGGAACTAATAAAGAGAGGACTTAGTCACTATCCCTGCCCCTCAGGTAGAGCATTAATCCATTCATGAAGGATCTGCCCCCATGACTCAAACAGCTAACAACACTGCCACATTGGGAATCAGGTTTCCAACATGAGTTTTGGAGGGGAAAAACGTCCAAACTCTATCAGAGGTATGCCATACCATTTTCCACAGCAGCTGTACCATTTTACATTTCCACCAGCAATGCACAAAGATTACAATTTCTCCACATCCTCTTCATCACTTGTTATTTTCTGTATTTTTTTGATAGTAGCCATCCTAATGAGTGTGAGGTGGTTCCTATGTTTTCTTTTTTGGAACTTTTAAAAGATTAAAGCAATAATTGGTTCTTTTGGTAATCTTTTCTGAGTTAGAAAGAATGGGTTAAAAAAAGAAAGAGGTGAAAATTGCGCTACATAACTATAGCAGTCACTTCAAAATAATGTTTTTCCTTTGACCTTGGCTGCTAATTTTCTTTGTGAATGAACCAATTAAACTTAATTTCAGGGATTTCGGCTTCATGTTTGCAGTGTAATAGTTAGTTTTTTGGATGTACTTGTTAAATTTGAAAAAATTTGTTAACATCTGCTTCTTGTTTCACTTTATCATTTAGTAAGGTTTTCTCAGCCAGATGTTAAAAAGAAAGCCATTTATATTAATTCACACTAATGTGAGACTGACTAATGGCCCTTTTGCTCTCTAAGAGGAATACACATTTTAAAAGAATTAAAAGCCCATTCTCTTAATTGGTAGAATTTCATCTGAACAAAATGAGATATAATCAATTTCAGGAATGTGTGGGAAATATTTGAAGTTAGGCTTATCAATATCGGTAAGCTGTTTCTGCTTGAGTACTTATCTGTAGGATTGGGTCTCGAGGATTCCTTCTTTTTTCTGAACCTGCAGCTTCTCTAAACATTCCTGATAACTTACTGAATATATTAAATCATTGGATAAGGCTGAGGCTCAAGTTTAATAATCTGCTTAAGGTCACACAGCTGGTAAATGGTTAACATTTCTGATAAAAGTCTCTGTAGGTTCTTACTGAAAGTACTTTTAGGTGGCATTAACAAATATATTCATGCATATTCAAGACACTCTTGTATCCACAGGTTGCACTGCTGTGATCCATCACCTTCTCCTAAAGATGCATCCTGACTTATCTCCACACTTGCACACTGAAGAATGCAACATCTTGATTAACTTGCTTAAGGAATGTCACAAAAATGTAAGAATTCAGAAAACTACCACAAAATAAAAACGAAACTTAGGTACAACACATTGATGTAAAACGTTATCTCCATTAATGGAAAGTAATGATAATGTCTTAGCAACAGGTCTTTTTTTTTTTTTTTTGTCTTTTTGTCTTTTTTCCGTGTCCGGCAACGGATCGCAACCCTCAGTGTTGCCCCCGTACCGGACCGGGGACCGGCAACGGGATCGCAAGCCTCGGCGTTGCTCCCGCGCCTCGCTCAGCCAGTGAGCGGGAGCCGGTCTGTATGTGGGATCCGAACCCTCGGACGGGAGCGCCGCCGTGCTTCCCAAGCGGCGCACTATCCAGTGCGCCACCGGGCCGGCCCTTAGCAACAGGTCTTTTTTTTTTTTTTTCTTTTTTCCCTGTCCGGCAACGGATCGCAACCCTCAGTGTTGCCCCCGTACCGGACCGGGGACCGGCAACGGGATCGCAAGCCTCGGCGTTGCTCCCGCGCCTCGCTCAGCCAGTGAGCGGGAGCCGGTCTGTATGTGGGATCCGAACCCTCGGACGGGAGCGCCGCCGTGCTTCCCAAGCGGCGCACTATCCAGTGCGCCACCGGGCCGGCCCTTAGCAACAGGTCTTTTTTTTTTTTTTTCTTTTTTCCCTGTCCGGCAACGGATCGCAACCCTCAGTGTTGCCCCCGTACCGGACCGGGGACCGGCAACGGGATCGCAAGCCTCGGCGTTGCTCCCGCGCCTCGCTCAGCCAGTGAGCGGGAGCCGGTCTGTATGTGGGATCCGAACCCTCGGACGGGAGCGCCGCCGTGCTTCCCAAGCGGCGCACTATCCAGTGCGCCACCGGGCCGGCCCTTAGCAACAGGTCTTAGTAAAGATTAACAATTAATGCATGTAATTTTTCAGAAACCACCTCCTTTTATGATTAGTAAAAAATCAAGCATGATAGTTTGTTAGGGAACTTCTAAAGTAGCTTGTAGTAGTTAGAATCCATGTTCTTAAGGTAAAATGATTTTTCTTTCCTAATTATAGGGTGCTGGAACAATTATGTTCAGCTCTGACTCTTCTGATCATAATGGCATTATTCTGAGATTATCTGCTCCTTGATGGCTACTGTATTAGTCCGTTTATGTTGCTTATAACAAAATACATGGAACTGGGTAATTTATAAAGAAAACAGAATTTATCGCTTGCAGTTTCTAAGGCTGAGAAGTCCAAAGTCCATCTGGTGGTGGCAACAGTGACCCAGGGTTCTCACATTGCAAGATGGTGGAAGCAGAGAGAGCAGAGAGACAGACTGTCCTCTTTTTTTAAAGCCTTCAGAACCCCACCCTGACCACCATTTTTCATCCATTCACTACTGCAGGGTCCTACAATCTAATTACCTCTTCAAGGCTCCACCTTTCAATTACCATAATAGGATTTCCCACCCGCTTAACAGTCACGGTGGGGGCTAAGTTTCTAATACATAAAACTTGGGGGACACAGTTCAAGCTCCAGTGAGTTTTGGGGGGACATAATTCAGTCCACTACAGCTACCATTCTGTGTTTAATGGTAATTGAAGCATTCTATATAATTAGATGTTAACTAGATTTAATTTATAATTGGTCTAGTCCAATGAGTTTTCTTAATTGTTAGTGGAGTGGAAGTAAAATTCCATGTTTAAAACCAAAATAGAAAAGGAGCCTATATTTGGAATGCATTAAATCAAACTGATATTTTTATAGATGTTGAATATTTAGCTTTTTCGTGTGTATTTGATGCATGACACAGTTGTTTTAAGAAGGATTCATGTTTTTCTTTTAACTTTGCATGATGCATTAGTTATTTTTCTCATGATATTCATAAACTGTAGGTATGTATAATTATAATAATAGTAAGTATCACTTAAATGAGTAAAATGTGAAGACCAAAAGTAAGGTAGCGAGTAATATTTATAAACTGTGAAGTCAGATATTTTTACTGGTTCAAAGAATGTTGTTGATGACTATATACTTTAGGTAAACTATTTTCACCATACATTTGCATCAAGAATTGGAATCTGTTCTTCTCTCCCTACTTACCCAAACCAAAAAATGAACCAGATTACATAAGTAAAACACACCTTTATATTTTTTGTAAAAATATAAAATGTTTACTTTTTAAAGAGCAAGAACTGATTATTTGTGTTGACTTAATGCAGAATATTTTAATTCTATATATGGTCAGTTACAGGCAGAGATAAAAAAGGAGAGAGGGTCTGCTAACAAAAGGAACAGTGGAGAGAAAGAGACTTTGCGGAATAACATGTCAGTCTTGTCATTGAGGATTTTGCCAATATAACCCTTTAGAATTGTGTTGTGTTTTTCACAATACTAGACATAAATTAAGATATCATCATTTAATATTTATTTCCTAGGTTAATCAAGTTAAACACCAGAGTTTTTCAATCCTTGCTTTTTTTTTTAATTTTTAGTTTTTTAAAAATTTTATTTTGTCAATATACAATGTGGTTGATTATTGTGGCCCGTTACCAAAACCTCCTTCTCTCCTCCCTCTCCCCACTCCCTCCCAACAATGTCCTTTCTGTTCGCTTG